AAAATAAATAAATAAATAAATAAATAAATAAATAAAAATTGTTTTTTTTGTTCCTTGGTTCAGGTGATTGGCCACAGTAACTTTGGCTCCATCAGGGCCACAACCTGTGTGTTTAAAGGTAAGAAATGGGGTGTGGAAAAGTGGGGCATGGAGAGAATGATGTGGAAAGAGCAGAAACCTGCAGAAGCTATAGTAGGTTAGACAACTTGAGAGGTCAAGGGGTTGGGGATATACTGCAGCTTCAGACTGTAAATGCTTAAATTCCTCCAGCTGTTTCTTGACGAACAGAAGGATGATTTTGGAGGGATTGGGTTTGACCTGGTGTTAACTTTCCAAGACCCACCCCTTTCTCTACTGCATTGGTAGTATAATTTGTAGAAATGTGCTTTGAGCTAGTATAAACTTGCCCTTGTTCCTCTGTGCTACTTCTTTTAGGGAAATGGATCTACGAGGTGCTCATTTCCTCCCAAGGCCTCATGCAGATTGGCTGGTGCACGCTCAACTGCAGGTTTAATCAGGAGGTATGGTAATTGCTCAGCATAAGGCAGAACTGCCCTGAGCTTATTCTCCACCTTAACATGCAAGCCAGGTTGAATGCAAGTGAGCTGTAGATCTCTTCTATAGAGACTGGTCCTAGCATACTATTCCCTGGAGATGCCATACCTAGTATAAAAGAAGAGATCTAAAAATCTGTTTCTGTTGTGCATTTGGTGAATTCTGGTGCAGTGACTGAACCTTGTAAATCTGTCAGGTGTATGCTAGGCTCTTGCTTGATAGTCATGGGTACAGCAAATATTGTATTTCCATGTACATAGGACTTTTCTGCTGTTCCCTCCTTTAGTATCTTGGTAGCAAAATCTACAGGTCCTATGGAAACATTACTGGCATCTGTAATATATATGGCTTTTTCCAGTGGGTATTACAAGGCCTGGCAGAAGTACACCCTTGCTGGAGGGTCTGTCCTTCTTGTCCTGGGCTTGTCTTCTTTAAAGTTGCTGCAGCTGTTTATCAGTTGATGGGCTGACCTGCAAGTTTTCAGTATTTACTTCTTGATGCATGATTCTTGAGAAGAGGTGTATATGGGAGAAGGTGTAGAGCAGCGTAACATGGTATGCTGGTAGAGTGCTGAGTGTGTATTTGTTAGTGTTCTTGTTTTGAGTTAAGGGTCACTAGGATGGAATGTGTTTTTAAAGGAGAATATTTGGTATGTAGGAATGTAAATACCACTGAGAGAGGTTCTTTGCAGATACTGCTGAGGTGCAGGAAAGTGCACCCTTTTTCTTTTCTTCCCTCCCAGGGAATGATTGGTGAGACCTGGTAAATCAGATTTATGGGGAACTTAGGTGAACTCCTAAAATTTTGGTTAAGGACTCTTCTTCCTCCAGTGTATGCTGCTGAGTGCTTGAGGGTGTGTTCTCTCTGTCCTGTATCTACTCTCCCTTGTGGCTGCTGCTGCTGGGTGTGAGGTGCTCTCTCTGCTTCATGTTCGTAGTTCATTATGAATCTTATCTTGGGCTCTTCTCTTTAACACAGGAGGGGGTCGGAGACACTCCAGACTCATATGCATATGATGGAAACAGAGTACGCAAATGGAATGTAACTACCACCAACTATGGCAAAGTAAGTACCTCCCCCGAGCCATTTCTGGCTCTGAGAATGCGCAAACCTTTAGTCTTGAGTCACTGTGACTTTGAAATTGAGCTTTATCCAGCTGCAACTATGCTCCGGACATCAACAGTGATGTGGAAATATTGAGAGCAAAAGATTCCAGAATAGGACATGCAGCAGCTAACAGAGTATTCAGGGAAGGGGGATGGAGGGAGAGAAAAAAGCAAGGAAAATA